CCAATAAACAATTTTCTTCCACTTTTTTGCCTCAAAAATCTTTCTAATTTATGTCGAGAAAAAGTGCAGCGCAATATTTCATTTAAACTCCTCCCAATTAATGCCTATTATAAGACGTTAAGAAAAGTCGAAGGAATCTCCATTTATTAAAAAAAAAATTTTTTTTTATTTAAAATTTAAAATTAAATTTTTAATTTTAAAAAACATTCAAAAAAGTTTAAAAAATAAAAATTGAAAATGAATATTTCTATATTTATTTTACTTTTTATTTGTTCTTATTTTTTTCATCATATTTACGGGACAGGAGATCCTAAAGGTAAAAATTTATTTATTAAATTTGGACATAAACATTAGAGGTAGGAATTTAAAAAATGCCGGAGCTTCAGAAGAGAAACGATCTACATTGAAAAACAGTTACAGAGTCTTCCATTTTTTTTGATATTTTGGAAGTTTTGGAGCCAGATTTTTCCATTTTTGGCGCTTCAAGAAGTTTGAGAATTTTAGATACTTTATGAGAAAAAATTTGAAAACCAAAAGACCAGATTCTCAATTTTTAGAGTCGCCGTGAAAATTTTCAGGGAGATCATAACAAATTTTTATGAAATTAAGGCCACCATTAGGGGTGTGTTTTTGGCGTTAGAGGCCGAAAAAGAGGAAGGCGGAAGCGTAAGAAAATACATTCCTGATACATGCATATTTAATTAAATTGAAAATTATTAAATAATATTAAAATTAAGGAAAAAAGAAAATTCCCGGATATGATAATCCACCCAAAGAAAGTCCATCCGTAGAGAGTCCTCCTGAAGAGATGCCCGACACTGAAGAGTTTTATTTGGAGGTGGAATCTCCGCCTGAAGATAATTTTAATTTTTCATTGACAGAATTATCTGTTTTGATTCGAGTTTTAAAAACAGTTTCTGTTGAAGATGTTAAAGATTTGAACGATTTAAACGAGTTTATTAAAGAGAAAACTAAAAATGTGTTGAATGGGATTTTTGAAAGATTTAATAATGATTTTGGGGGAAAATTTTTTGGCAATCTTGATGTGGTAAATTTATAAATAATCCATTAAAATACTCAGGATTAATTTTTGAAAATACAGTAAAGCAGATGGGCTATAACTAATTCTCTCCTTTAGCTAGTACAAAAGGTTAACCAGCATCTTAAGTAGACCGGACTGATGTTTTACTATTACACCACGCCGCCTACTGCACAGCCTTAGGAAATAAATAGCTTTACATTACTTAAGAAATTAGGGTTCAGCGGTACCGGTATTCCGAGAAAAAACCGGTATCGGTATTTCGGATTGATGATACCGATCCCGATACCGGTACCGACTCGGGATCGGGATTAGCCTAAATCGGTATCGGGATTTGAGTTAATGATACCGATACCGGTACCGATACCGACTCGGGATCGGGATTGAAAAATCGGTATCGGTATTTCCTAAAAAATTTTTAATCAGAAAAAAATAAATAAATTCTTTAATAAATAAATTTATTCCTCATTTTGAAAAAGGTATTAATCTATAGTAAAATGATAAATTAGCACTATAAAGCCATTCTCGAGACAAAAACATCTCAGGAACCAATAGAAGACCTTCCAAATCCATCGATATCCACTTTAATCCTCCGATATCATCTTCATCCACGGGTATACCCCAAATTCAGCTTTATATCTCAAATCAACTTTGGGGATTAGGTGGGATATCAGTAGACTTATTGGAGTACTAGGGATACCCCCGATAATCGAATGATATCCCTCAATATTGGAACCAGACCTGGATAAAACTTTTTTTCATTAGGCTTCGTTCTTTAACAAAACACCTGTGTTTCATTAATGAACATTATTTTACTTTTAAGCCAAAATTTAATTCACCGAAGGCGCCAAAATCGAAAATTTCGAAAAATTTTAAGGCCAAAAGGCCTGCTTTTTCCCATTTCAGCGCCGCAGGCGAAATTTTCAAGACTTTTGTAAAGTCAATAGGCCAGAGTTGTTCCTTTATTAGCGCCGCAGGCGAAATTTTTGATAATTTTAGAAGGCCGTAGGTAAAAAATTCACTTTTTCAGCACCGCAGGCAAAAATTTTGAAAATTTTTATAGACTAAGAAGCCAGATTTCTTCAATTTTCAGCGCCGCAGGCAAAAATTTTGAGAATTTTAGAAGGCCATGTGGCTAATTTCGTCCATAAAACAAATGAAAAATCGATCCTTAGGGGTGTTAAAAAATACCGATATTCATCGGTATCAGACGCTAATCCCGATACCGATACCGATACCGGCCTCGGTATCGGTATCAGCAAAAACGGTATCGGGATTTATCATTCGGTAGCGGTATCAGTAAAATCGGTATCGGTATTCAAAGAGACCGGTATAATACCGCCCGATACCGGTCGGGATCCCGATACCGCTGAACCCTATAAGAAATTACACGTAAAACATCCGCATTGAAAAAACTGACTGTGGATATGTATAGGAATTTGGAGGCTTATTAGTATGCTGTTTATTACTTTTTATTATCAGCAAATCGCAAGTTTGCTGCTGAGGGCAGGAGAATTATTCCTCGTTCATCTTTAGATTTTCTGAAAGCTTAGCATAAAAGTTTTGATAAACGTCTGATTTTCTAAATCCTAATTTTTACTTTTTATTTTACTTTTTAAAAAGATTATCAACTACCATTCGAATAACTATGAAACAGACATTGAAATGCCAGTAAAAAGTGTTAATTTCATTCTTAAAAAATTATCGAAACTCCGTTTAGAAACGACGGTAGAAGAATTCGCGGGATTTTTATATAATTGGGGAATTATGACATTGCCTGAAAATACAACCTTTGATGAGCTGAAACAAGATAACCGTTTGCAATACTTTGCATATAATGATGAAGGAATTAAATATGGGTTGCTACACTTGAAGGCTTCTAGGTTAATTTGATAATGTTTGAGATTAAAATACTTTCTATCGAATTTACTATGAATTCTATTTAATTATCGTTGACACAATTGTCTAGGATATACAGAAACACAGCACGTACTAGCAAGGGCCTTTCCATTTGGGGTACTTGATAAAACTTAAGTTCGGGATACCTTTATCCTCAATCGGTAAAAGACTGAGGAATGTTATATTTCATATGTGAATAAAGCGCTTACCATCTTACTTAGCGGTAACATCTACGTCTCGGTTGATCAGGTCCTCAGGCTTACAGAGGCATAGATGTTAACGCTAAGTAAGCGCTTTATTCACTTAGAAAATATAACATTACATTAATAAATAATAATATAAGTGTTAGGCCTAACTCTATGTTATGGAAAAATGGAGAACATTATATAATGAAATTTAATGGGGGATAAATAATAAAACATTACAAATATGCCTACTGAAAGGCGGTACGACAATTGCGGATACGCACGTGCGGATGCGACGATTGCGGATATAAAATTTTTAAAAAGTTTAAGATTTTTTAAAGTTTTAAGTGCCAGATCTGTCTAAAAATAATTCGGAAACCGTCAGAAGTCTGAAGTTGACAGCCGGGACAAAAAAACGGAATTTCATTTCAATCATTTTTAAAAAATTTTTAATCCGCAATTGTCGCATCCGCACTTGCGTATCCGCAATTGTCGTAACACCTACTGAAAAAGTAACGGAAGGATGAATTAAAGTGCTCTTTAACCTTTCCTGCTGATTACACTTTACAATACCTAAAGCTGGATTCTTATATTTTTATATTTTTTAATGATAAGGATTTGTTTAAGACCTCGGTCCAGTCACTAATCTTAGATTGTCGAATCTAGTATTTTACTTAACTTCATTTTCCATATAAATTTGAGTGTGAAGTAGATTTCTAAAAATTTAGATAAAATTAATTTAAAATATTTTAGGGAAATGTTCGACAATATATACAATTATTGTAAAGACAACATTAATATAGACAAAAAAGTTTATATTTATTGGCATCTATTTCTCTTTGTACGAATGCTTATTAGAAATTTTGTTCAATTTCATAATGCAAACAACCATTATAATGAACAATTTGATATTGGAGGAATAGAGTATATTTTTTAATGAAAATTATTTTATTTGTGGAGCTTTAATAGGGCTTAGTTTGTAAAATCGGGATCCTCATGAAAACACGTAAAGAGCATTAGTCGCTAAGGTTAATGGAAGTTCTCAAAAGGTGTAAAGAACATCACAAACATCCTTTTTCTGAGATATTAAAGCTTAATCACCACTAACTTATTCTTGGGAAGGCGTTTGGGAAGCTGGTGCATACTTTTTAAGAGGAGAAATTGAAAATCCTTTAAAAGATTTTTTGATTACCCAAATTTATTTTAATAAAATTTTAGCCAGGAAGTTTCGATTCGAGCTTATTTGGAAAATTATGATATTTTTGAAATAAAAGCAAATGAATTTCAGCAAATATTTAATCAAGTTTATCCACACAAACGATTAAATCAAAAATACGCTGAATCAACATATGGCATAATCTATTATAGTGAAATCATTCCTGATATGTCGATCGAAGTTCATCCTATAATGGAAGCGTTTTGGCCAATAATTTACACAAATTATAAAGGTATTAAGCAAAATTAAACATAATTAATTCTATATTATTTGATGAGAAATACGCATCGTGTTATGTACATACCGTATATACTCTATTAATTACCCTCCCTCAAATAATTACCCCGCCTTTATTAGTTACCCCTATAGCGAAAGGTTGAAATAATAATTACCCCCTTAAAAATAGTTATAATTAGTCTTCCTAAAATAACCTCTATTAATTAACCCGCCTCTATTAATTACCCTCTCCAGAGAGAGGTCGAAACGATAATTACCCAGGGTAATTAATAGAGTATATACGGTATACTCCCATAGAAATAGTTTAGCAAAAGTATCCGAATCAGAGAATAATTGTGAAACATAATACGGGACTTTTCTCTACTCGGCCCATTTCTGATCTCAGCCCATTCCTACTTTAATTTTTTTTTAAATTTAAGCTAATATGAATTATTGGACTGGACAAGAATGTTACAATTTATCCATACAAACGCTTGATCCAAACACCCATCGGCCAACTTACCCATTTTATTTATTTTTCCATTATTTGGATGATTTATCCAAAGATATGTTGGATCATTTAATTTTGAATGAATTGGCTGGAAAAATTATACTGAGTGAAAATAAAGTTTATCTCGATGAAGATATTGTTGAATTACTTTCTGTTGAGAAACCTGATCAAATTCCTGTTCAAGTTCCTCCGCATTTTCATGGAAAGCTTACTAGAGAAGTAATATATATTTAAATTAAAAAAAGCTTTTTTAATGGATAAAATTCTTGACCGATTATTTTATTTTATTCTAACACTTAGAAAATTTTTTAAAAATAAATTGATATTTATTTATCCTTATAGGTTTATAACAGATGCCGTACTCGTTTTGAACAATTGCAACAAGCACATCAACAAGGACATGAACAAGAACATGGACAAGAACATGGACAAGAACAAGAACAAGGACATGATCAACGTGGACATCAACAAGGTGGACGTGGAGGACGAAGGACTGGACGAAATCGTGGACGGAATGGAGGAGGACGTGAATGAAAAGAGTCGCAAAGAATTTTTTCTGAATTTTTCCTTATTTTCTACAAAATATTGAGTGTTAAAATAAGTCAGTACAATTTAAAAATCTGAAGCTCGTAGTAGAGTGTCCTTAACTAGTGGGTATTGATTAGGCTAGGCAGCCCAACTAATTTGAAGGAAAAATAAATACGGATAGGACCGACCTAGTCGAGATCCGGATCAAAAATCACGGTTATCGGTATTCTTTGGGATAACAAGAAAGGTCCCTAATACTGACTTATTCTAACCCAATATTTTGCTTTGGTTGTTAACAAACTTTTTCTGTCCTTTATAGTTTTCAGGGTTTTATTTTTTTAACTACAAGAAACGAGGATTGAAGAACTATATACATATTTGATTATATTTTACATTTTAGTTTAGTATTTTTTAAATTCCAAACAGTTGATTATTTAAAGATTTTGATTTTCGGATAAAGATTTTGGGTATTTATTTTTAAATTATTTTAAGCAATTTACCTATGTTAGTAAATATTGAAATTTTCCTCCTTCTACTAGTCTACAAACAACCTGTAATTGTGAAAAGTAGGCTATTACTGTATCCTATATACCTGCGGTTTCTGAATGATACAAATTTTATAACAATAGTTTACTGTTATACTAAACATCTGGGAATTGAATGCAGCAAAAGTATGTATTTTTCTAAGATATGTAGAGTATTAGATAGCCAAAAGTGAATAATTAAACAATATTGTTGTTGAATGATAAGAGATAGTCAAAAAATTAATTATCTTTTTTGGGCATTATTTTAATTTAAAATTTTTAAATATATTTAATTAATTATTATTCATTAAAAATATTATTTATTTATCTAATTTTGTAATGTAAAATAATAATTCAAAAAAATTTTTTTTATTAAAAATGCACATGATTTACTCAATAATTTTTGTCTTTATCTCCCCTACAGATTTTAAAATTGCAAAAATAAGATTTTTTTAAACGTGACTGTCCATTCCCAATTATCTTGCACTTTTTTGCCTTTAAAGATTTTCTGATTTATTTTAAGATTAAGTGCAAGTTCAAGTTCAATATTTTATTTAAACTCCTCCCAATTAATGCCATTTATAAGACGTTAAGCAAATAGAATGATAACACATTTATTGAAAAAAAATTTTTTTCTTTTATTTAAAATTAAATTTTAAATACCTGAACAGTCAAAAAAAAATTTAAAAATATTTTTTTAAATAAAAATTGAAAATGAATATTTCCATATTTATTTTCCTTTTTATTTGTTTTTGCTTTTTTCATCATATCTACGGCATGGATAAAGGTAATAAATTCATTTTTAACTTTAGACATTTATAATTAAAAAACTAAGATTGTATGCAAATACTAGTTATTAACGGTATCTCGTAAAGTTACTACGGCTTTTGAGTCTATTCTTGGAATGCAGATTATGCGGATTTTTAAATGCGGATTTGCGGATTTTTGTGGCCTTTTCAAGTTATGAGGATCCTTTATTTTTCATGTAATTTTGTTCACAAAAATACAAGAAATCTGGCTCATTTCATTCCAAAATCACAAAATTTTTCTCTTGTGGCGCAAAAAAAAAGAATTTTGGCTTAAGTGTATTTCATAATTCTGAATCTTTGAGCATTAAAATTATCCATTAAAATTAGATTGCATTGGTTCAAGTTAAATTTAATTTTTCATTTAATTATTGTGATTTTCATAAGATGATTTATAGTAATAAAAATTGCTCAAGTGCGGATTTTCTTATAAAATGCGGATTTTTTAGCCCAAAATTGCGAATTTTTAAATATTCTATATCGAACCCTGTTCTTATCCAATAATCATTAATTCCATATTTTTAATACAGCGGGCAAAAATTTCTTTTCGTTTTGGGCATTTTGGGCATCTACTATACATATTAAAAATTATAAAATAATAGAGAGTAAATAAAAATAATAAAATTAAGGAAAAGGAAAATTGCCCGAATATGAAAGCGAGTTTCCTGCTGATCATGTGCCTGAAGACCCTTTTAAATTTAGTCTGACTGAATTATCAGTTCTGATTAGAATTTTAAAATCAGTTACTATTGAAGATGTGAAAGATTTGGGCGATTTGAATGAGTTTCTGAAAAATAAAATTAAAAATGTTTTGGGGGAGATTTATGCAGGATTTTATAATCATTTTGGAGAAAAATTTTATAAAAATCTTGATGTGGTAATTTTATCAAATAATTTATTATAATATTCTCTCTAATAATTACCTGGGTACTTTTTGTTATAAAGGAGGGCAACTTTTCAAGTTTTGAAATTGGTAGGGCATTCGAGGATGGGTATTTACACTAATTAATACAGAGGGGTTTTATTGGTGGGAGAGTATGTAACTAATCGAGAAATCCGTCCAACCAAATTACTTAAATGCTTGAATAATTACCCTCTTTAATAATTACCCCCTCCCTTTCCTTCTCTAATTTTAAAAATATTAAAAAAATCATTGTCTATTTTAATTATTGAAACATTATGAGAATCTATATCAAAAAATAAATGGATTTCCTCCTCGATTTATTGAGATAGGTATACCCCAAAATTAGTCATCCTCTCGATTAATTACCCCCTCCAGCGAGAGGTCGAAACAATAATTACCCAGGGTAATTATTCGAGCATATACGGTAATAAAATATTGTAAGGCGAGGTGTGTTTATTATTGAGTAGACCTGGGGTATAAACACCAATAGCAACTTTGAGCTAGTTATCAGTAATTGTTGCTTTAAAATTAAAAGATTTGTTGTTGAAATTTTGGGATTTTAAGTGGGCTTATAATAAAAGTTTTGGTGATTTTTAAGCTCTATTTTTAATTTTTTTATTGAAAAGATTATCAAGCACCATTCGGATTTCTATGAAGCAGACATTGAAACGTCGGAAAAGTATTTTGGTTTCATTTTTAAAAAATTAGTACAACTTCGTTTACACCTGACAGTCGAAGACTTTGCAGAAATCGAAAACTTTGCAGAGTTATTAAATAATTGGGGAATTATGCCATTGCCTGCGAATACAACTTTTGATGAGCTAAAAAATAATAAGCAAAATTTGAAAGCATATGCATATTTTAATGATGGAATTAAATATAATTTACTACAACAATCGAGGAATAATGAGTTAATTTAATAATATTTGAGTTCATTTTCCAAACGAATTGAGTTTGAAGTAGATTTATAAAAATATTTCCGAAATTATAAATAAAATTAATTAAAAATAATTTAGGGAAATGTTCGACAATATATACAATACTTGTAAAGACAACATGAATATAAGCAAAAAAGTTTACATTTATTGGCATCTTTTTCTTTTTGTTCGACTGTTGATTAGAAATTTTGTTCAATTTCATAATTATAACAAACATTATAATGAACAATTAGATATTGGAGGAAAAGAGTATATTTTTTAATAAAAATTATTTTATTTGTAGAGCTTTAATAGGACTTAGTATTATAAAATTGGTATCAAGGTCTGACATTTCCGACTTCCGTTTTCCGAAAATTTTAGATCCGAGCCATTTCTTATTTCTAACATCTTCGTCATTTCCGACACAACTCTGGGTGGTATAACTAAAAATTTTGAAAATTTTGGAATTTTTATGGACTCCAACTTTTACCTTCTTAAACTTAGTAAAGATTGTAAAGGATCTCGTCCTTCTGAAGTTTAGTTGCAAAATATTTTTGAATACCCAAATTTATTCGAATAAAATTTAGCAAAGAAGTTTCGATTCGAAGTTATATGGAAAATTATGATATTTTTGAAGTGAAGGCAAATAAATTTGGGCAATTATTTAACCAAATGTATCCAGACAAACCATTAAATCTAAAAGATGTAGAATCAAAAACTGACATAATCCTTTATGCTGAATTCTCGCCTAGTTCGATCGAAGTTCATCCTGAAATGGAATACTTTTGGCCAATAATTTACAAAAATTATAAAGGTAATAAGCAAAATTAAACAAAATTAATTGTATATTATTTAATGATAAATTGATATAGTATTCGCATCATGTTATAGTATACTCCCACAGAAAGAGTTTAGCAAAAGTACCCGAATCCGAAAATAATTTAGATCGTGACTTTTTCGGCCCAATCCTAGATTACCTCATTTAGCGTCAATTTCAGCCACAAAGACATAAATGTATTATAACCAGTTAGACTTCATTTTAAAATTTAAGCTAATATGAATTATTGGACTGGACAAGAATGTTACAATTTATCTGCAAGTACGCTCGATCCAAACACCCACCAGCCAACATATCCATTTTATTCATTTTTCTATTTTGTGGATGACTTGTCTAAAGACATGTTGGATCATTTAATTTTGAATGAATTGGCTGGACAAGTTATACTGAGCAAACAATATATAGATGAGGATATTGTTGAATTACTTCCTGTTCAGAAACATGGTCAAATGCCTGATCAAGTTCCTCCTCATTTTCATGGAGAACTTACTGAAAATGTAACATTTAATTTTATTCCGTACAGTTGAAAAATTTATAAAATATAAGTAAATTGATATTCATTCATCTTTATAGGTTTACAAAAGATGCCATTCTCGATTTGAAGAGATAGTACAAGCACATCAACAAACACATGGACGTGGAGGACGTAGAGGACGAAGGACTGGAGGGAATCGTGGACGCAATGGAGGAGGACGTGACTGAAAAGAGTCGCAAAGAATTTTTTCTAACATTTTTCCTTATTTTCTGCAAAATAATGAGTTCTAAAATGAGTCAGTACAATTTAAGAATCTGAATCTTATAGTAGAGTGTCCTTAACCAGTGGTTATTGCTTAAGCTGGGCAGCCCAACTATTTTGAAAGAAAAATAAATACGGATAGGACCGACCTAGTCAAGATCTGGATCAAAAAATTAAGTTTACCGATATTCTTAGATCAAAAGGTCTCTAATACTGACTATATTTTAACCCAATATTTTGTTTTGGTTGTTAACAAACTTTTTCTGTCCTTTATAGTTTTCAGGGTTTTATTTTTTAAACTACAAGAAAAGAGGATTGAAGAACTATATATTTGATTATTTATTATTTTCACATTTTAGTTTAGTATTTTTTTAAATTCCGAACAGTTGATTATTTAAAGATTTTGATTTTTGGATAAAGATTTGGGTATGTATTTTTAAACAATTTTAGGCAATTGAAGTTGGTAAATATTAAGCTTTTCCTCTCTCTAATAGTCTTCAATACAGTACTACTGTTTTGTTATCAAATAGTTTGTCCGAGATTTCTCGATGTAACATTTTTTGGTTACCACCGTTTTTTTGTTTTGGGTATCACACATATTCATAATTTCTAATACTTTTAAATTTGGTAAGAAAGGGCTAAAAACCCAAAAATCTTTCTGAATTGTTGATTAAACTATTAGTCCAGTCAACCTAGCCGAAGTTAAAGCCCAAGTCTGATTTATTTGTAAAACCGGATCGTTCAATATATGCTGAATGAACGACGATCCATCCCATAAGTCTCGGGGTTGAGAAATATAATAGAATTCCGCCAGAAAAGGCGATGATTAAGCTATCCCGCTTAGTGATAAGATTTCAGGGTTTTTCTTGTCTGGGTCATATAATTTTGTATGCACTTGTATATTCTTATATATGTATCATATAAATCGTATAAAAGCGTATATATTTAATAAAATAATTAAAATTAAAAGGCTACAATTAGCGGCAAGAGGGAATAAGATGAAAGAAAGCCCCCAAAATATTCACGTGAAAATTCACAATCATGCGCGCCAATTTCGAAAATTTTAAAGGTAAAATTTGCCCTTTTTCCTTGCTATAAATATGGGTATAATTTACCCATTTTAAGGTTATTCTTAATTATTTTGCAAATTTTTTAAATTTTTTTTTAAATTAATTTTTAATATAAATTTAGTTTTATAAATAAAACTTTAAAAAATTAAAAATATTTTCAAATAAAAATTGAAAATGAATATTTCCATATTTATTTTCCTTTTTATTTTTCTTAATTTTTGTGATCATATTTACGGGGCAGGGGATCATAAAGGTAAAAATTTATTTTTAAAATTTAAACATTTATATTAACACGGGTCGGGCACAATTAGTTATAAAAAAATTAGACACACTTATAAATTAGATCAAAAAATAATAATAAAATTAAGGAAAAGGTAAAATGTCCGAATACGAAAGTCCTCCTCCTACAAAAGAAGAAACTTTACCCAAAGATTTTGATGAGGAACCTGAAGACAATTTTAATTTTTCCCTGACAGAATTATCTGTTTTGATTCGAGTTTTAAAAACTGTTTCTATGGAAGATTTGAAAGATTTGAACGATTTATCCAGTTTTATCAGAAATAAAACTGAAAATGTTCTGAGGGGGATTTATCGAAGATTTAATAATGATTTTGGGGAAAAATTTTTCAACAATCTTGAAGAGGTAAATTTATTTTTATCGAGAAAATTTTCTTAAACGGACGGAACTTAAATAAATTAGTTCTGTATGTAAGATCAAGGTAATAGGTTTTAAATGCTCAAATCGGCTTGAGCATTTAAACAGTTGAGATGCCTCGAGAGGTGAAGGACCCGGGCCTAGCTTTGCTCGTAAATTTCAATACAGGTAGCAAAATATCGGACTACTTACTATTAATGAATATAAAAATACTAGCACTCCCGTTTCACATATTTACTTGATTAATTCCCCTCCCTCAAATAATTCCCCTCTCTCGAATAATTCCCCCCGCTACGGATGAGTTGAAACAATAATCCCCCTCTCCGAAATACCCTACTAAACGTTTATAGGTATTTCAAAACTCGAATAATTCCCCTCCCTTGAATAATTCCCCATGCCACGGATGGGTTAAAAAATAATGCCCCAGGGGAATTAATCGAGTAAATACGGTAAGTGCATAAATAACCTTTGTAGTTGTTAATTCAATTTAAAAGTGTTGGTAAATTTCTGATTTTTTAAAATTATTATTTTAAAAAAGATTATCATCTACCATTCGGAAAATTATGAAAAGTACATTGAAATGCCAGTAAAAAATGTTGATTTCATTCTTACAAAATTATCACTACTCCGTTTAGAAACTACGGTAGAAGAATTTGCAGAATTTTTATATAATTGGGGAATTATGCAATTGCCGGAAAATGTAACCTTTGACGAGCTGAAACAAGATAACCACTTGCAAGCATTTGTAAATAATGATGAAAGAATTAAATATGGGTTGTTAAAACTGAAGACTAATAGGTTAATTTAATAATATTTGAGATTAAAAAAACTTTTATCGCATATACTATAAATTCTATTTAATTATCGTTAACACAATTATGTCTAGGATATACAGAAACACAGCACATACTAGCAAGGGCCTTTCCATTTGGGTTATTTGATAAGAGGATACCTTTATACTCAATATAGGATATCAAGGGCCTTTCCATTTGGGGAGAAAAGGTATTAAGGGTATCAAGGGCAAAAAAAAGATATCAAAAAAGATATCATCATTTATTTTAAATTCGAATCTACATTATTGTTAACACAGAGCTCTGTCCTTCATTAAAAATTGATGGGTGTTGAATGGTTTCTCACCGGAAGGCGATATGCGTGTTTCTTTCGCATATCAGAGATGTCACGAGTTATCCAAAGTCCAATACCAGGAGCCGGAGCCGGTCTACTAAGGATGCTGGTTCGCTCCCAGCCGCCGAATAACCTTTTGTACTAGCTGAAGGAGAGAAATATTTAGCTATAGTCCAGCTGCTTTACTATACTAATAGGGGTGTGCAAAATCATTAATGTTTGCTTAGGCGTGCCGAAGAGAGCCCAAAATATACCTAAAACCAATTTTCTACGTTTATATAATGATAAGGATCTGGTTAATACTGAGGCAATCCAGACTTTTAATTTAATTTAAAAAATATTTTTGTTGAAGAAAAATTAATTTTATATAAAATAAAATTAATTTTAATTATTTTTTAATAAATTTTGAAAATTTTTTATTAAATTTTTTAAATTAACGAATTTTTTATAAAAATTTTATTTTTTACTTTTAACTGATAAGGGGACTACAATTTAACAAAGGATTTTATATAAAAAATATTTTTTAGATAAAAAGTGCAATTTTAACAATTTGGCTGTTTACATTAAAAAATGTGATTTTTTAATGTAAAATCACATTTTTAATGTAAACATGTTTATAAAATATAATTTTATTATTTTATTATTGTCTAAAAATTTGGACCATGGACCCCATGATCCTTTTGTTTAAAATTAATTAAAGAAATTTTGAAGGATCATGGGGTCCATGTCCCTTACATTCCCCCCGCAAAATAAAATTTTAATTTTTAATTATTTATTTATTTGTTTATTTATTTATTTTTATTTTCTTTCTTTTCAAAACTCTTTTACTTCTTCTCCCATCTCCCAGAATTCGTTTATTTCTTCTCCAATCTCTATTCCAAACTTTCCCTCTTTAGCCCAATTTATATCCACATAAGTTACTTCTTCGTCTTCCTTTTCTTCTTCACTTTCCTTTTCTTCATCTTCTTCATTTTCTTCTTTATTTTCTTCTTCATTTTCTTCCTCATTATTTTCTTCATTATTTTCTTCTTCATTATTTTCTTCTTCTTCATTATTTTCTTCTTCTTCATTATTTTCTTCTTCTACTTCGTCCCAAAAGGGATTTTCTCCATTTAAGAAGGGGTCCCCAATAATTATTAAATTCATATCCTCGTCCAAAAACATTTCAATTTCAATTATTAAAACATTTTCATTATCTATATAAAATTCTACTTCATGATTTAGCATTTGCTCCACGTTAGTGTAAAACGTGTTGTACATCTATTATTAAAAAAAATTTTTTTTTTTTGTAATTAATAGAAATTTAAATTTAATTAATTAAAATTTTATTTAATTAATATTTATTTTAATTTTTAATTTATTTAATTAATTTATTCATTAATGCGCGTCTCCATTATACTCAATACTCATTCAATATTTTCATAATTAATTTGGAATTAAAATTTTAATCTAATGAGGAGAATTATATACGGATTAGAACGGTATATACCAGTTGAATAAGTTTATTTGATTAAATATATATTTAAAATTGTGATGTATATAATGAATTTTATTTTTGTATTTTTTGTATTTTTGTATTTTTTGTATTTTTGTATTTTTTGTATTTTTATTCACTTTTATTTTTTATTTTATTTATTAATTAATTATTTATTTACATATATACATCAACACTCTCTTTTTCCCTTTATGTACGTGCGACTGAGGGCGAAATTAATTTACGCCCTTGTCTCATCGATCCTTGAGTACGGATAGTATCGATGGAACCTTGTCGCGAGAAATACTCGATTCTACGCCTTCGGGGAGCAATAGAGGCTAATTCCACCTCTTCACCTTGCGGGGTTCTTTGATAAGTGGCACGAGTATTTGCGGGAGGAGCTCGTCCCATAAAGGCTAAAATAGTAGTCCATGCGGGATAAAGAAAATATACCGTGAGTAAGGGAATTCCTATGTCTCTAAAGAACAAGAAGGTCGAATAGAGACAACTTAATATTTTCCACCATTCTACGATAAGAAGCCATTTATTCCAAATGTAATCCATGGCTACTTGACGAAGACCTCCTGGAAGAGCACCCAATGCTACTGCTCTATTAGATTCTTCGGACTTTACGTTTTCCTTCCATTTTTCATATTCCGACAGTTCATTAACATGAACGAAAATTGGCTCGTCGGTACGGTTTCGCATGACCCACTCGTGGAAGACTATTGGGGCCACATTCATGTCCGGGGAGGTTATATTATCGTGGAAAATGTGAATTTTAGCTTGCTCCATTTTTTCCCACACTCCGGTACTAGTATCGATTCTAACCCATTGATCTGCGCCGATTTCTAGAAACCTCAAACGATAACGTTCACAATCGGCGGGAATCGAAGATTCACTTAGAATCCTTAATTCAGGATCCAAGAATCCTAACCTTGTCATATTAGACAAAGTTATTTCGACCGGAATATATTTGAAACAGCTTGACACCGGCCGAAACCTTATATTTGTAATTTCAATAGCTACACAAGAGAAGACTTGAGCTGTGTCTTCATTTAGCCAGGTAGCTACCAGATCCTTTTTATGAAAGGCCTGTCTCACATGATATGTGGGATTATCGTGTCTAACCGTTTGCTGATGGCATTTTTCTTCCAATAATTTATCGTAAAAATTTTTTAAAGCTAGTTCGGCTGCAGTTAATTCTGCCGCAAGCTGTTCTTCATCAACTGAGCGCTTACTCCTTTCAATAAATAATTTTGTAAACTCTCGCTCCTCTATCGCGAATCCTTGCTCTGATTTACGAATAGCTTTACCGTTACAAGCTATTTCGTGAGGCGCCTCTTTTAAAAATGACAAGGCAACCTCTTTAGAGGAGGAAATCCAAATGACTCGGGTATTTCCCGATCTACTATAATCTCCCTCCCATCTTCCTAAATATTCATAATTGCAACTTTTGCAATTTTTAGACTCGCAATGTGACTCCCAAATTATACTTGAATTGTCCGGGAGATTACAAAAGTCGGTCATATAATGGCATTTCTCCACAGAATAGAGAGGGGAGAACATTTTTAGAGTTTGAGGGTTATAATGGAGGGTGGTAGGCTGTAGGTGGCAATTAACAACTGAGGATTCCCTCGCACCTCCAAATAACGAGGAGAATCTCCCAGGGAAGTCAACCTTTAAGGCCTCCTCAGTTTTCCATAATCCATCCTTTTTTTCCATTTTCTTTTTATTATGGGGACAAATTTTACTTTCAGTCATTTTTAAACACTCATCTTTATTAAGAGGCAAAAGTTTTTGTTCTAACTCTATAAATTTATCTCCAAGTAGATTAAGATAATACACTTCTCGAGTGTATTTTGCTGAACATATAAATGCTTCTACTGGCTGTGGACGCATAGTCTGGGAAAATGTCTCCAGAACAAAAGGTTTCCATTTTCGGAATCCTTTTTTACAAAAGGACGCCTCATCTCTATGAGGAAATTTCCAGAGTGCGCTAGATTGTGTAGCACACCAAAAGACCGGGTCCCCTTTAATTTCGGATTCTAAATTTTTTCGCCGAAATCTTTCTTGCTCTGCATTTTGCTCTTTAAATGCTTGAGTAAGATATGGAGACGCGCTTACTCGATAAACTAATTTTTTGCCCCCTGGTGTATTTACCTTTGATTTCGTCACCAGAGCCGCTGAGAATCCAAATAAGGATAAAATAAATAAACAAATGAGAGCAATTGTTCCCAAATTTTTTATAATAGAACCACCAGATTTACGAGAGGGTATTTGTGATGTACTAGGTTTAAGCGGATGATTCTGTTCATAAAGTCGTTGAATCAATAATTTTAGGCGCGATTCCAAAGAAGGGCGTGGTGGTTCAGGAACTTGATTTATTTGTTGTAAGGAAGGTAAGAATTGACGTGATGTTGATTCTACTTCATAATTTATAGAAGGAGTATGAAGAATATTTCCCTTTACTTTGTTTAAATTTTCAATTGACCCATCAAAATAATAATAGCCGGTATTAAAGGATTCGGCTAAATTTCGGAATTGTTCCGTGAATTTTAATCGTTCTCTTGCCAATTTATCTTCGTTATGTATCAAGTTAATGCCGATCGGTATTCCATTTGCTCGCCAAAATTCGAGAGAATTTGCTATTGAATTCATTTTTGTCTCATTTGGCTTCACAACTATTAGAAGTTCCTCTGTTCGGTATCCAAAATATATAATTCGATGTAGGTCTCGACCACCATCAAAATGAACTAGTTTACATCCTTCCCAGCTGTGAATACTTGGCACCGAAGCGTCCGATGCGATGATAAATGGCGAATCAATTAAATATAATTTTGATGGACCTCTACACATCATAAACTTCTTTTTAGTTAAAACTTTAGATAGCATTTTTGTAATATATTTTAGCCAATTATTTAGTCCTAGGTCCGGTGTTTGTCGTGCTTCCTCTAAAATTATTTTTCCGGACCAGTGATAGCCATATAGGTTGCGAAGCACTTTACAATTTGCAACACGAATGGCTACAATATCGGCTAAAAATTTATCTTTAAAAGCATTCTTCGGATTATAGCGAATATGCTGCCAAAATTTTAAAATTTTCCAAAGAATGGATTCATTTGGGGCGCATAGTTGATCTCGAACGGCATTCCAAATTTCTAAAGTTCCAAATCTTTGCCGGCCTAACCAATTAAAGATTAACATGTGCGCCAATGTTGTCATTAGAGGAAATGCCATACTAATTGGAATTGGCCTAGAATGTGCCGTTCTACTGGCCGTTTTAGATAAATTACAATTCTCGTGTTGCGGTCCCTCACAAGGTGTAAAAATATTGTATGCCCAAGGTTCTACTTCCATTTTTGGGGCCGGCCATGTTTCTTCTTGTTGTAAATAAATAATTTGTTGTTCACGTCTTGCAGCCCTTATAGCAATATTAGTTTTTTCTACTCTTGGACATCTTTCGTGCTTGTGTAATTCGTAGTATGTTTGGTTTCTTCGTAATGCTTCTTCTTGTTTTTTCTGTTGAAAATTTCGTAAAGCAGCAACTTTATTAATTTTAATTAAACGTTGACGTTCTTCTTCTGTAATTTTTCCAGCTCCTAGATATTTATTGACCATTACTACCCCAGGCTGTGGGAAATTGCGGAATCCTCTTCCATATTTTTGTATAGGCTTCTTCGGTATTTTATATTTCGATAACCAATTATCAGAAGCTTTCCTTTGTTTATTTATTATTTCATTATTTTTTCCTTCTTTATTTTTATTTTCTTCATTATTTAATGATTGTTCCTTTGGTGCGGTTTCAATTATTTGGATTTCATTTTCTAAAGCCTTCTCATTTGAAACTTGAGTTGATGGTAAACTAGATACAATCATTGCCGACATAACAGTGGTCGGTTCCTTTCTTGAATCAGAACTTTTCCGAGCATAGGCGGGAAAAGGAGTATCTACTTCTGAATCACTTGAACTCATCTCAACTTCAATATTTTTATCTTTTAATTGTTGTTGTTTATTAGTCTGTTGTTTGGGTCGAGACTCTGAAAATTCTAATTCATATATTTGATTAATAGACCGTTTAAAAATTTTTCCATTTATATTTAATTTTACGGTTCTTATTAACCCATCCCGGCCCTTATTTAATTCAATAATGCGACCGAGTCGCCACAAGGGACGGGGAAGGTCGTCTTCAACTATAACGACCGTTCCGATAAGTGGTTCCTTGCCAGATCCTTTACCCTTATATTCAGATCTCTCGCGCAAGGAAAGCAAATACTGTACGCGCCAGATCTCCCACAATTTGTTTAATCTTTCATTAATTTTTCTTATTATTTTTAAACCTTCTTCTCTATTTAATTCCTCCTCAAAATCTGACTCATCTCCTAAATTAGCGAAATTTATTTCGGGTGAGGATTGAAGCAAAAAATCGATGGGCCTCAGGGAACGAACTGGCTCTGCATCTGATTGATAAGTTAGAGGACGGCTATTAGCCATAGCTTCTAACTCGATAAATAGAGTTCCGAGCTCTGCATGGTCTAATAATTGCCGACCGATACTCCTTCGCAGAGAATCCTTGACTACTTTGACCATACGTTCCCAA